CCCGGCTCTGCACCGGGGCCGCTTCGAGACTGTCCCGGTGGAGGGAATGACAGGTAACGTCGTCGTTGCGGGAAAATGCGGCTCCGCTTTCCCGGAGGACCGGGAGTCGTGCTTGGGGGGAGAGAGGTTCGTTGGGATACAGGAAGGCTGCTTTTTCTCTAACGATGGACGACTTACCTAGACGCTGCCTTGCTATCTTCCCCCTTCCTTCGGTAAAAGACGCTTTATTTCGAATAACGATGATCCAGCAGGTGCAGCTGTGGCTATTGTGAGGCAGCGCTTGAGAAAAGGCTCACCTGGAGCCCTTGGGGCTCTTCCCAGTTAGAAAAGGGGCTTAGTTGCCTGCTTTGACTGCGTGCGGTCTTACCAGTGGGTACCATATTGAATGTGGAAACCCGGGGCCAAGGGAATAGTGCTCTTTTTTTGAAGTTTAGACAAACGGTGTTCCTGTAGGCTAGGGGGGATTTGCATTTGCAAACAAGTTTTCTGTGTTTCCTGAAAAACATTGCTCTACTTTTCCATTTTGCCACAATGAAAGTTTTGTGCAAGTTGAAGTCTTAAATGAATTTATATAAGAGTCAGGTTTCAAAAAGTTGTTCATCTCAAGCAAATATGGTATTGTTAGTATTTAGACCACAGTGGGTAACAATGTTTACTTTTCCGTCTTTCCCAGTAAGGAGTTCTGTGTGACTCAGAGGCTTGTGTTACAGCAGCCATTTTCTACCTCTAGCACAAGAGCAGCTCCTTGATTGTAACGTAGTAGAATACTTCTGATTTAGGACTTGTCTGCACTGGTGCCATAAAACATGTTAAACTTGATTTCACAGTGAAATTCATGCCTGTTTCACCTGTGGTATCTGCCTTAGGCATACCTGAAAATAAGTTGATGTTTGGAAACCACTGACTTGAAACCTACCTTGGTCTTTTTTTAAAAAAATTATTTTTATAGAGCAACAAGTTGAAATATAAGCAAACTTTTTAAGAGGCCAAATGAAACTATATATCTAAGTCAGCTCTCTGTTTCCCTGCTGCATTGTGCCATATTTGTTGGAAAATCAGAGCTGATTCCTTTTTTCCTTCATCCTCCTTGATTTCTAAAGGCATTTATGGTTGAGGACTTCAGCCCTGGGATGCAGTTCTGATCTGTCAACCTAGATTGCTGGGAAAATTGAATGGTTAATTTTGTTAAATACATTTTTGGTGTAATGTTTTCTTAGCAAAATTTACCACCTTTTCTTGTAATTTGACACATTAATGCAAATGTTTTTGCATAGTGTGCCAGTGTAAAAATGAAATGAAGCATGAAAAAAGAAATGAACAAAATGAAACAGTTCTAAACTGCAGCATTTTTACCATATCCTCATGGCTGACTTTTGATGTGAGCCTGTAATTCTTCAAATTGCTGAGTTGTTGTAAAGAAAATAAATTAAAGACTCCAGTAAGCTAAAAGGAAGCTGTATATTTTATCCCTGCATGTTGTAGTTAGTTCTCTTGTCTGGCAGGGTGAGTGCTACTGCTACTTCTTTGTATCAGGTGTGATTAAGTGATCCATTATCTCTGTGCAGAAACATAGAAGTGTTTCAGCTCCCCAAAAGAAGGCTTACTACAACTCCATATGAGTCACTGCTATGGGCTTGCACCTTGCTGATTAGCATCTGCTTTGTTTCATGTACGTATTATGTGTGGTTGCATCATTTAATTGCCTTGATGAAGAAGTGCAGAAAAACCACCTGCTTTCAGGAGGCCTCATATTTTTTCTGCATTTGGAGAATATAATAATTTCATTTCTGCATCATGTAAGAATGGAGCATTCAGTGTATAAATTCGGTAGAGAAGGAGATTGCCGATACAGATCTGTTTGATCAACCAAGTGGCCTTGTCTTTTTCCAGTTAGGAAGAGTTGCTCCAGAGTATTCGTAGGTCCAGCAAGTAGACTTCTTGAAGGAGTATGATTCCTTTTTCTGTACATCTGCTGAAATTAATGGGTGTGTGTGTGTGAGTATAAGTATCCTTCCACATTTAATTGGAAGGGAAGAAGTATCACTAACTGGACTTTTGTGCTCGTTAACTAATGGAGATTTCTTGAGAAATTGCATTTTGTGCCTGCTAAAGAGGTTGGGAATGTAAAATGTGTTAATTGCTTCAGGTTATATGCAACCTGTATTAATAAAATAACAGCTTCCTTTTAAAAAATATATAGAGCAGGGGCTGTGAACCTTTATTGGCGGGTACCTGTGTGTTTGTTGAAGAAAACAAGACTAATTTTCTTTCTTTTCCTGTCTTCTGCTATAAACTGATTTCAGGAAGGTTTATAACAATTAAGTACAATAAAATAAGTTCTAACCAAACAAAATAAAACATCAGCTAAAAATTTCTTGCATATTGTTATACACTTGGGTGAATGTGTAGACAGACAGGGATTTGCCATTCATAACTGATCTTGAGGTATTTGTAACCAAAATAAAAATAGCTGTACAAGGTACTACTTAGGTGGAACAAAGCAAGTGATATAATAAGATTGCATGCTTTTTAAATGAGTCAGCCATATAAAACCATTGCATAAAGTCTATAGTTTTAGAGCTTCATTATTTAAATGCTACGTACGTTCTCTCGGCAACTGTTTGCTTAGTTTGAGGGTAAGATGATGTTACAGTATATTAATGTGTAAATGGGAATTACTGCCACTGTACCTGGCAGTGAAGGTGATAGGGGGAAAACTATCAAACGGAATTCTCTCAGTAAAAAGATCTTTGAAATGAATAACCTGCTCAAATTTTTCCCTTCTTTCCCGAAGTGGACCAAGAGTGGTTTCTCTTTGTTGGATTGTTAATGCTATTTAAATCTGAGCCCTGTTTGTTTGATAAAACTTGAGTTTCCATACGGATTAGTAAGGTTTTGGATGCAAATATATTCTCCTGGTTTTAGAAGGCAGAAACTAGAATAACTTAAGGTGCTTTGTATAGTCTTCTGTTGTAGCTATGATAAAATAAAATGTGGCTGTAGGCTTCCCAAAAGAGGCTGCTTGCATGAAGAGAGGCTGGTGTGTTGACCCTGAGAAGCATAATTTAAATCTAGGAGGAATGTGGAAGAAATAAAGGTGAGATTGGAAATGGGAATGAGCATAGAGATAGGAAAGAGGGACAGTGCTGCAAGGTTTCCAGTGAAAATCTGTATTTGCTAAAATAAGTGGCTGCAACTACCATAGAAGGGGCTTGGGGACTGTGTTCCAAGCAACCTAACTGAAAGTAATCATCTCTGTGAAGCAGTGATGAAAAATGATTCAGCAATATGTAGAAATATTAGAAAAAGGACTGGAAATTAAAATATTGGTATCATAACACTGTAAGTGAATGCATAGTGCAGTGATACTTGCAATATTGTATATTGGTCAGGTTGCCCTGCCCCTAAAAGGATGCTGTAGGGTTTGGAAAAGTTATAAAAATGGACAATCAAAATAATGATGAAAGTTGGTAAAGTTGGAATGTAGTGTAGAGGAAAAAATGACTTGGAGGGAAGAGGGATATATTTTATAAAATTATGCTTACCTGCTCTTTCCACATCATAAAATAGTTTTACAATGAGTTTTTTTCCCTCTCTCGAAATCTTAGAACTTGTGTTGGTAAAAAAAAAAAAAAAAATCTAATTAGCAGTTGTACTAGAACATAAGGTACTGTTTCAAACACGTATTGTTAATTTTTGGTATTTACTACCACAGGATGTAGTGAACAGCACAGCCAAGACTAGATAAAAAGCCAGATAGAAAGTTTTTATTTTAAACTGGTTTTTCTTTTATTGCTTCATTATATTTATTTCTCACATCTCGTGCAGGAACTCAGGGTGGCATGCCTAGCAGTCTTTCCCCCATTTTCTCCCCCAAAAGCTCTGTGGGACAGATGGGGCAGAATTAGATTGCTCTAAAATCACTCAGCTTCTGTGGCCGATTGTGGATTGGGCTTAGTTCTCCCCAGTCTTGCTCCAGCACTTTGACCATATTGACAGTCTTGGACATAGTAGCTGTGGAGGTAAAATTTGGATTTCGGACTGTCATTCTTCATGTAAGGAGGAGAGTTAATTCTTCCATTTCTGAGGAGCAGCCATGATTTGTATTTCAGAGAGTGTTCCTCTACATATTTGCTTTATTTGAAACATTTCGATATTCCTAGTTGTGCATTTCCAGGTAGTCTACACTCAGTGAAAATCACAAAAACTCTTTAGTATGAGATTATATATAAAAAAAGGAAGGGGTACCTGCAGAACCTCTATAGTCTACTCTACATGATTAAAATGCATCTTAAAGCTATAAAGCATAAAACATTATATTAAAATATTGATTCTTGTGGTCATGAGTAGTAAAGCAATACTGTCATGAAATGCTGAATGTCACGGTAAAGAAGAATGCATCCAGCACATGCCTAAAATGAAATAAGATTGACTCATGTTTTGTCATTGCGGGAGGGTGTCCACAATAGAAAAGGCCTTCTGCTTGAAGGAAAATGAGTTCCTAGCTTAAGGCATCCTTCAGCTGAAATCCTGAAGAGTGTGTGTGTGTGTGTAGAGAGAGAGAGAGACAGAGACAGAGACAGAGAAAGCATGTGCGCACAGGACCCTTGCAGTTTCTCCCTTGAAATTAGCATCTGGCCAGCAGTTTGAGCAGGCACATAGATCAGTCAGTCTTCCACATGGTAGCATGACATAAGTGTGTGAGTTGCTCTACAGTGGAGCAGCACCAAAATTGAATTAAATAAATAAATGTATGTATGTATGTTTTGGAGAGAGCAATTGTTTCTAAATGTGTATTAAGTCATATAAATTTATACATGCAAATAAATATGTACTTGGGATCATACAGCATGGCAAGCCAAAGCCAAATGAACACAGAAAGAAGTGAGACTAGGGTAAAAGAGCCAGTGTGGTGTAGTGGCTGAGGTGTTGGACAAAGACCCAAGTTCTTCTCCACCCTCAGCAATGGAAACTCTCTGGGGGACTTTGGCCAAGCACTTTCTCTAAGCCTACCTACCATACAGAGTTGTTGTGGGGAAGATAGAAGGTAGTG